TTGCAATACCCACATAATGCATTGCCGTACATACGAAATCCATTACCATACCCCAGAAACCGATTGTCATAACCAAAGCACCAATTGCAATACCCGATGAATACATAGCCATACCGCCATACCCAAGGTAACGCAATGCCATCCATCATACCTGAGGTATCATTTGGCATATCCAAGATCGTCCAAATTCTAAAGTGCGGGGGGTCACCGGGACCAGTTCTAGAACATGAACTAAACCTCTTGCAAGCAAACCTGTTTGGATCAAACTCTCGAAACAGTTTCTTCGAGGACTCCTTGTCTCAGAGGCTTTGGGATTAGGAAGTTCCCCAGCCCGCCGTCCTCGTAGGCGGTCTGACCAGGATTTCGAAGGGAACCCAACTGTGGTGACAAGGAGCTTCCTGGGGGCCCGAGACAGAAAACCGTCCTCGAACCTCGAACTTCGATCCTCCAACCTCGATTCTCGAACCTCCCTCCTCCAGTACGGCACGTTCGCGCGGCGTCGGCGTGCCCAAATGTTTCCAACACCGAATCGATCGTTGAGCCTTGAATCGATAATCGCGGCCCCCATCGTTCAAGGTTGAATTCTGCCTGCTTCCGCGGCGCAGTATCCAACCTTGAACGCCTCCGCCGGCATCGCCAGCGCGCCCACGCCGCGTGAGCCTACCGTACAGCGTCGAGCATCGGACTCAACGAGAGGCGTCGGTTCGCACGGGCGGCGGGTGCGAGCGCCGCCTAGCAGGCGGGTCAGCTCCAGGCTCGGCACATCCCTGGCCGCACGGCTGGCCGAGAGAGGTGGAGTAGGAGGAGGAGGAAGAGGAGGAGGAGGAGGAGGAGGAGGAGGACCAGCAGCAACACTCAAGCCCGTCACGCCGTCGGATGCCCACTCTGAAAATTCGCCGGCCCAGCGGGCCAGAGGCGTGCTCAGATCTGCGGTAACTGGTTAACAATATTTCTAGTTCGCGCGCGCGGGGGGCGGCCCCTGGGGGCCCCTGGACGACAAGTACCTCGGCAGGGTCCCGGGAGAAGCCACCAGAGCACTCCAGGGGAGGGCCATTTTTCGACACACCTCACGAGGATCGTGGCCTCCGAGGGGGGAGCCGCAATCGACTACCCCCCCTCCAGCCCCAAGAGGCCCCCAAAAGCCCCCCAAGAGGCCCTGGGGGCCCCCAAGACGCCGCCAAGGAGCCCCAAGAGACTCCCAAGAGGTCCCCAAGAGGCCCCCAAGAGGCCCCAAAGAGGGCTCCAGGGCCGGCGGAATGAGCGAAGCGATTACATAAAGAAAGCTCGGGCTGGGGCCGTTAAAACCTTGTTCGAACCCCTGGCGTCGTTCAACCTTCTAGGCAACCATGCTGCTACACTGAATGCACACTCTCAAACGCGCATCTGCCAGAGGAGGAGGACCAGGGTAAGCCAAAGGTACATCAACGATGCTGCACGTACATCCTCCCGTCCAAAAGCTAGCCCCCGTTCTATGCCTGCACGCTGGAACAGCCACGCGTTCCAGGGGTATCTTTGGGCTGCGAGGGACATGGCACAGGGCGTGGCCAGCAGCATGGCAGCCGCAAACTTGGCAATGGTTTGAGGAGGAGGCGCGGCGGGCCTCAGCAAAAGAGTTTGAGGCTCAATGCACAAGGGCAGCACGCATGGCTGTAAAGGCCAGAGGCTGCAGCGCTGGGGAAGAGCCTTGCGAAGCTTGAGGAGGCGGCGGCCTGGTCGGGCAGGGGGATGGCCTTCGTTAAACGAGCGCGTTCCATTACTCGCAAAGTGCCCCCGCGGAGGATCTACGATTAATTACATCAAAGCAGACACGTGTTTTTCGGACACTTGCGAGTAAACACTTTACGAGTAGTGGAACGCGCTCGGTGATTCGTGGCCAGGAGCCCGCAGCAGTGCGTGCCGGAGCGAGGCAATGTGGCTGCCAGGAGTGCGCTGGGAAGTGGCAGGGCCAGGTCTCCCCTCCAAATCAGGCGGGGGCCCTTGAAGGGGGGGCCCCGCGGCCTGAACCGTGAGGCGGAGGCGCCAGAGGAGCTCGAGGGGGTTGGGGTAACTGTCGCGGCGAGACGCCGGCCCGAGATCTCGCGCTCAGACAGGCTGAACCTGCTAAGTGCCACCAGGCCACGAAGAGAAAAGAGGCCATCCTCATCATCTGCGTCGCTGTCAGGATGAGGGTGAGGGTGAGGGTGGCCTGAGGGGTCAGCCCAGGAGGGCCTCCGACCCCGACCCGCCAAGGTTCGTCGGGGCGGAGCTGAGGAAAGGAAACTCCATCTCCTCTTCCGTCGAACTCGTCCGACACCCTCCTCTCGCTTCTCCCTGCTCCGTCTATCCCTCCCCCTCCCCCTCCTCCCTTCCCTTGGGCCCACTCCCACTCATCCCCACTATCCTCTTCCTCCTCCTCCACCTGCGCCCTCCTCCCTCCTCGGGCCGACCTGCTCTCGCTTCCCTCCTCGCCACTCATTCCTTCCCCCTGTCTCCCTTCCCTCCTTGTTCCTTGTTCTCCTGCTCCATCCCCCTCCCGTGTGGATGACTCCCCCATGTCGCACCACCAGACGTGTCCGTAGGCTGGGCCTGGCGTTTCTCTTGACACTTCCTTGCAAACTGCGATCTCCAACGGTCGTCCTCTCACTCTGCACAACGAGTGCGCAAACTGCACAGCAACTGCACGGATGGAGAACGGCCACTTTGCACCATGAGGCTCTCCCTTGAGACGTCCACAAATTGAATATGATCAGAGCTCGAAGCCGTGGAAAACTGACACGGATGGAGGGCAGGTCCTTGTCAAGCCGTAACTATATCTGAAGCTTTCTGCAGTTGTCTCATCCTTTCTCTTTTCGTTCCCTTGTCGATCGGGAGTTGCAAAACGAGGTCTCGCCCGAGTGGCAGGTCCACGAGGCGCTCGTCCTACCTCCATTCAAGGGGGGGGCTCCTGCAGGGGCTCATGAGGCTGGGCATCGGGACGGGAGGGCGCGCTCTGGCTCCCCCTTTCCTCCTCTCCCCCTGCTCGTTCCCCCCCTGATCCTCATCCTGCCCTTTCTCTCCCCAAACATCCAGCTGCTCCTATTTTGTTCGATGCGCGTGGGTCCTGGAGGTCAAGACCGCTTCCCGAGGGCTGGTGTTTCATCCCGAGCCGTTTTTGACGCGCCCGAGGCCCGGCGAGGGCTCCCAGAGGCCAGAAACGGCCCAAAACCGCCCGCTCCAATTCCACCAGCCCTCTGGGCGTCGGTGGTTTAGAGCGTTTCCTCTTCCACCCCTCCTTCTTCCCCTTCGGGAAGCCATCACCACCACCACCACCACCACCACCACTACCACCACCACCACCACCACCACCACGAGAACCACGCACACACGCACGCACGCACGCACGTGCACCACCACCCACTACGCACGCGAGCGCGGAGCCACAGGTCCGCTACGACACGCGTCCGCGGATAGAGAAAATCAGCGCCATGGTAAGGGATGGGAGGGAGGGGTAGGACGTCAGATATGACGCGAGCGCACCTAGCTTGCCCTACCCCCTCCCCACTGACCTGGACAAGGGGGGCCGCGGGTAGTTAGAGCGTCCAAGACGGCCCAACACGGCTCCAAGAGGGCCTCAGGGAACTCAAGATGACCTCCAAGATGGCTCAAGATAGCGCAAGATGCCTCAAGATGGTCCCCATGATGTTCCAAGACGCTCCAATAACTTCATTCGGATGCATCCAAGAGGCCAAAATGCTTCAAAACCCAAGGGAACATCAATGTTTTTGGTGTTCTCACTTTTTCGCTTGCGATGCACATCCGACGCGTCAAGATGGCTCCAAAATGGCTCAAGATAGCTCCAAGAGGGGCCCAAGAGAGCCTCAGGATGGCTCCAAGAGCGGCCACGAGCGCTCCAAGAGCGATCCAAGAGGGGTCCAGGAAGCGATTTTTGGAGCTCCTGGGGGGGGGCTGTAATTAGGGAGCCCCGCTTCCTTGGCCGATGTCCTCCAAAATTGCCCCAAGAGCGCCCCAGCAGGGCCTTCAAGGGCGCCCAGACGGGTCCAAGAGGAACCCAAGCCTCCCAAAACAGCTTCCAAAGAGACTCCCAAGAAACCTCCAAGAGGCCCCAAGAGACCCCCCAGAGGCACCCAAGGGGCAAAGATGGCCCCAAGAAGCGCCCAGGAGGCCCCCAAAGGCCCCAAGATGGCCCCAAGAGGCCCCAAGAGGCCCCCAGGAGGCCCCAAAGAGGATCCCGAACGGTCCACAGAGGCCCCCCCGAGGCACCCAAGACGCCGAAAAGCCCCTCAGGACGACCCTCTACTCGCCTGGGCGTCGTTTCTGGACGGGCTGGTGGGGATTTTTTTGTTTACAGCCGCAGGCGGAAGCGCCAGCGGCGGAAGGTCGCGAACGGGCCGCGGACGCGACTAAATTACCTAACGCGCGCAGGGCCGCGGATCAGGCGACTCACGACAGCGTCCAGGGAAGACGATGCAGTCCAGGTGCCATGACGGCCCCTGAACGGGCATGCAGGTGCGTCAACAGGCCTGAGGTAGGCACCGAGACCACCAATCGCAGCCAAAATGGCGCGAAAACGTTCCAACGTCCAAGAGCGAACAAGGGAACGGCCGAAGACGCCAGCCCCAGCCTGTCGGGTAAGAGGTCGGGGTGGTAAGTCCAACGAGGATCCTGACGGCGGCAGCGAGCCGCGGCGTCAGCGACATCAAGGTGTATCCAGCTGGTGGGGATACGCGAAGCGTCTAGAATTTTTGTTGGAGCGTCGGCTCTTTGGGTCTTTCCTCCCCCTGTTCCCCCCCCACCCACCCACCACCACCACCCCTCCCCCCCCGCCCATCCCTAACCGCCGCCGCCGCCGCACCCCCTGTCAACGGTGAGCGATGCCCCAACACCCCAGTGATGGGCCGGTTTTCCACCACCGCAGCCAAAGTTGGAGGGGGATGGGGTCCTCCTCCCCCTCTTCTTCTTCTTCCTCCTCCTCCTCCTCCTCATCCTCCACCTCCTTCCCCCTCCAACTTATGGTGGTGGTGGTGGTGGTGAAAAACAGGCCCATCACCCGAGCCCAAGAGTTTTCGTTTTCTGCTCGCCGGTGCACCGCACCGCTTCTCTCCCGCCGTCGGCGGCTGCCTGCGCGGACGCCCTTCCGTGGACTCCCTGGGCCTGCTGGCAGCAGGGGGCGCGCGCCCCAAGCTGCGAGGCGGCCGTGAGGGATGTCGCGGGTCTGGTCAGAAGGGTCCTTAGGCTGCCAACCAACCCACGCACAGCGCACATGCCACAGACTGGGAAAAAGGGTGGGCCGCGCTTTGGAGGGAAAATCGCAGATTCTCCTTCTCCGTCCTCACCCCAAGACCTTCTCCTATCTACCCCCGAAGAGTAGAGCCTACTGCTCCTCCTCCCTCCGCATCTCTCCACCTCTATACGCCTCTATCAAGCCTCCTCCTCCTCCTCCTCCTCATGCGCCCCATCCTCCGAGGAAAGAATAATGGCAATTGCCACTTCTGAGAAGCCCTCAGAGACCTCCGACTCCGCCAAGCAATAAGCGACTCTGGGTGAAGAAATGATCCAGGGGAAAGCGCCGAGGTCTAGGACATGGGACCCGTTTCCCTCAGGACCTCTTGCTGTCATAAAGCAGGATTGGGACACGTTCCGGCGGGCATGGAAGATGTAGCGATGCATCCTCGACCGGAGCATGCCTGACAGAAGCCTCGGATACCCTCTGGAGCTTGAGGACCCCCTGCTGATGCCGTTCGACGTCTGAGCCCACTCGGGTGCTGAGTTGAATTGACATGGGGTCGAGCCTGTCTGGCCGCCGAACGGGCCAAACTCCCACCGTCCCTGTACGAAGAATCAATCCCGTTCGGCTGCCTAAAAATTGTCTCTCCTCGTGCGTCGTTGAGGCACACCCGTGAGCACGAGCTACCAAGAGTGAGCTGCTGCTATATGAAACTGTATGTGTGCCCTGGGGTGCTCACCGCGCGCTCTTTGGCCGAGTGGGCTCACACGCCATACTGACTCCAAGAAGGAGCCGTGGGGTCTGGGGGCTCCGGGGCACTGGGGGCGGGAGGCCTCCCGATGAAGCGGGGAACACTCTCAGGAGGCCCAGTGAAAGGAAGACAAGCTTATGGGAGGTGTCATGATGATGATGGTTACCACGATCATCCTCATTATCACCATCACCATTTCCATCGCCACCACCATCGTCGTCATGTTTACCATCAACAAACTCATCGCCATTACCATCATCACCACCTGTCCAATATTAGCCAGCGCGTATGCCAAACAATGTGTTATTTAGCGTAGCGCGAATACAATATATGTGGGGCCATCTACGCAGTGCAATCCATGTCGTCCAATCGCACTTGGGCCTCCTACGTTGTGTAAGTGTCTTTGTGCAAATTATATTGTGCAACCGACGTGGTGCCATCTACGTGGTCGTGATGCAATATATACGCGGTGCAATCAGCGCCGTGCAATGTGTGATGCAATGTATGTGATGTACTTTCTTTGGTGAAATTTATGCACTGCATTGTACGTGTGCGTGTTACGCTGTGAGGTGTTCGTGATGCAGTCTACGATGTGCAACCAATATTGCGCATGCGTTCTACGCGTTGCAATCTAAAGGTGCAGTCGTCGTTGCGCAATCCAAATTGCAATCGGCGTGGTGCACGCGATGTGGTGCATTCTACGTGGTTCGATCTACGTGGTGCAACTCACCCCGCCGAACTTGAAAACCATGTCAACTCCACTGATCGCGCAATCTCTTCACCCATCCACCCGCAACTTAGTTTGCAAAACTTACGCGGTGGCAATTGCGATGACGGTCTGGCGCTGACTAGCGCATGGTTGCGGCCGCGCTAGCGCGCGCAAGGTCGCGCGCAGAACGGCCAGCTAGTTTGGCGCGACCGACGCGGCCGCGGTGGCGCTGAGTGGTGGGGACTTCCCACGCGTCTCGCTGGCCGCACGGACGCGCGGGCACTACAATGCGAATTGGCGGCTCGGTCGGGCGCGGTATCATGGCGACGTCGACAACGGCAGACACGTGATGATAATAACGATGCTGGTGACGACCATGACAATGATAACGGCAAGGCCAACGAGGTTGCCGGAGCTGATCACGCTGGTGACGATGATGGTGTCCATGCGTCTATGATGGCGGTTTTGGACGGACTTCGGCACGCGCGCGCGGCCGACGCGCACGAGCGGCACGCGTGGAATTAGTTGACGAGGATCGCGCCCCCGCCCCGCCCCCTACGGACGCGGGGGCGTTCGAATGATCCCAGCGCGTGTGCGCGAGAGAATGGTCATCGCCTGATCGCAATGACTCGCGAGAGCGCGAACGCCGACTTGTTTGAACATCGCGTTGCGAAGACCATGTTTGTTGCCGTGGAAAGCTGCGTTCGAGGCCAGCGATTTTGAATGATTTACGACACGCGCGGTTGCTTGAAGGACTTCAGCATGCGCTCGCGGCGACGCGATCGCGTGTACTTTGGCACGCGCGCTGTGCGGAGTTCTTGCAAATGGATAATTTATGATAGCGACTGCGCACGCATCGTATTACTGGACGTGGAGGAAGGGGTGGGTCGAAACCAATTTGGCTGGGATCGTGCGGGTCCATACATAGAAATACCGATGGGGCAAGACATGTGTACATCGCACACCCCGGTGGGGGCGCGGATAACCCAGGAGGGGGGGTAAATCCTGATTCCGGCTTAGAAGCACTCTATGTTGCGTCATCTATGTTGCGCAATCTATGCGGTGCAATTGAATTCTGTTCGCAATGAGTTGTTAACTCCACTGGTCGCGCAATCATTCCACCCGCCCACCCGCAAAGTGGTTTGCATGGGCCCATGCGGCGACGATTGCGATGACTGCTTGCTGGCTGGTGCATCTCTGCGGCCGCGCTAGCCTGAGCGCGCTCGCGCGCGCAGCGGACTGCTAGGTTGGCGCGATCGAGAAGGGCGCGGCGGCGCTGGCCGTGGGGCACTTCCCAGCGGGCGTCTCAGCGCGGGTCGGCGACTCGGGCGGGCGCGGTACCATGGCGACGTCTACGTCGGTAGACGCGATGATGATTTCAGCGATGCTAGAGACGACGATGACGGTGACGACGGCAAGGCCAGTGACGGCGCCAATGCTTATCGCGCTGGCGATACTGACGGCGCCCGCGCGTCGGCGATGAAGGTTCCGGCAGGATTTCGACGCGCGCGCGCGGCCGACGCACGAGTGGCCCGCATGCTTAAGCTTATGTGACATGGATCAAGCCCCCCCCCCCCCCAGCACGCGCGCAAAGGCGTTCGCGCGATTTCGACGCGCAGCGCGAGATGCCCGCTGGGCAGACTTTAATGAAACTGATTGAGCAAACAAGGTGTTCTTAAGACTTACGACTTCACAAAAAGCGCAAGCGCACACTTCCTTATAGTACTAACGTTGAGAAGCCGTGTGTCTTACATGTTTTCGGGCCAGTCGATGATGACCTCGCGACGGTGCCATGGTGATTTTTGCGTGGGTGCGACGCGCGCGCTTCGTCGCGCGCCGGTGCGCTTCGTCTCATTTGCGGCGAAGGATTCTCCCGGCAGCGCGCGCAGGGACGTTTGAGCGATTTCGAAGCGCGCGCGAGAAACATGTTTGGCAGCATTTTGCGAACACGTTGAACAAGAGCGTATTTTTATGAAGAATTGCAAGAGCACGAGCACGGACGCACATTTGTTTTGCGATGTTTTGCTGCAAGACCATGTGTTTGATCTGTTTTGAGGGCGCTCGCTTTTGAAATCCGTGCGAAAACCGCGGTTTTTGCCAACGGTGGCACGCGCGCGCGCGACGACGCGCGCGGGCGCGCGCGCACTTCATTCCAATTGTTGCAAGCGTTTCGTGGAGCCTGATGGCGTTGGATCAACGAGCGCGCGCGCGTTCCATTTGCGGCGCAGGATGAGCGGGGGGGCCGACGCAGGTCTGCCCGGGAAGGCATGAACTCGCATTCAAGATGGGCTATCGGGCAAGATCGCGCGCGCATTGTAATATGAAAACGTGAGCCATCAATTCCAGGGGGGTAGATCCTATCCATGTTGTGAATGGTGAATGCATGCTGTGAAATCTTCGCGGCGCTATCTGATATCTATGCGGTGCCAGTGCCATTGCTCTCCGCGCGCTGCCAACTCTACTGCTCGCGCAATCATCTCGCCCGCCCGCCCGCAATTTGGATTGCGAGACCCCTGCGGCGGCGACTGCGACGACTGCTCGGCACTGGCTGGCGCGTCGCCGCGACCGCGCTAGCTCGCGCTGGATCGCGCAGACCGGCGCGCAGAACGGCCGATCAGCCTGGCGCGACCGACGCGGCCGCGGCGGTGCGGGCCGCCGGGCGCCCCCTGGCGCGCCTCGCGGGCCGCGCTGGCGCAGGGGCGCTACAGTGCGAGTCGGCGACGCGAGCGGGGCGCGGCGCCATGGCGACGTCGACGAGCAAACGTGATGATGATCGCGGCGACGATGGCGACGACGCTGGCGCCCGCGCGTCGTCGACGACAGGTTTTTGACAGATTTATAAATGCGCGAGCGGCCGACGGGCGAGTGGCCCGCGCGGAATGATTCGACAGGGGTCGCGCCCCCCGCCCCCGCCCCCGCGCCGTTCGCGCGCGCACTGGCGCTCGAATGATCGCGACGTGCGCGCGCGAGAAGCCCGGCGGCAACGTGCGATGCACATGTTGAAAAATGTCCCCACAAGCATATGCAAAAGACGCGATGATGGCTGTGGCGACGCTGGTGGCGGCGATGACAATGGCGACGGAAAGGCCGACGACGGCGCCGATGCTGACTGCGCCAGCTACGATAACGGCGCCCGCTCGTCGGCAATGAAGGTGTTGGTGAGATTTCGACGCGCGCGCGGCCGATGGGCACGATTGGCCAGTGTAGTAATTAATACTCGAGCGGGGCCGCCCCGCGCCACCCCGCGCGCGAGCGAGGGCGCCCCCGCGATTTCGACATGCGCGGCGCGCGCAAGAGGCCCTGCTCGCAGCATTGGAGGGTTGGATGAAAACGTGGGAAACAAATGAGTCTCCAAGGAGTTCGCTGGAGCGCGAGCACAAACTTCCCTGAGCAAAAAAAAAAGTGGCAAAACCAAACTGGGTTTCCATGTGCCCTCGGCGACGTCGGTCTCGGAGTTCTGGCGCAAGGTTTCCGGCGTTCGCGCGCGACGCCGCGCGCGGGCAATCTGCGCATGTTGTTTCCCGACCATCCCGCGTTGAATCCTCGTTTTGGAGAGACAGCGCCCCGCGCCCCTTCCTCCACCATCCCCCTTCCTCCCCCACCTTCTCCTCCTCCTACTCCTCGCCCTCGCCCCCCCCCCCGATCGCATGGCCCATCCGCGCTCGATTCGGCGCGCCCCCCGCGCGCTTCGCGGCCCCGCGTGGAGCTCGACCGAAGGCCCCAGCGGCGCAGTCCGCATGGCGCGCCGTCCCGGGTTGGGCACGCGCGCCCCACGCTGCGCGGCCCCGCGGGCGCGGCGACGGCGCCCGCGCGGGCCGCGCGAGGGGGCGAAGCGCGGCGTGGCCCGGAGCGCCTGGAAATGCAACTGCTAGCCTGGGGCGGCCGGCAAGGGCATCGCAGCAGCGGGCTCACTCATGGCGCGCAAAACGGCGATCCAGCTGCGGGGAATGGCAAATAAAAGGCCGCGCCCGCTCAGATTGTCACTCCAAGAAGAAACTGTTTGCATTGATGCTCCGCTTCTGGGAAAGACTCGCGCGCGTCGCGCGCGTGATGATCTGCGCAACGGGAGCTCCCCCGTCCACAATGGATCCTCGACGTCGGTCCGGCAATCTGCTGTCGCACATGTCGCAGAGAAGGAACTGCTCCGGCCCCGGTACGCGGCCATCGTTCAGTCGGAGGCTGCGTCGCCCTCCTATGGGGCATGTGTTCGAGAAACTCCATTTCATCTTTCTCACATGTCCTTGCTCGTCTTCTTTCAACATGGGGCGTTGCTCGAGCAGTGTCCGCCGCGCCGCGCGCCAACGATGCACCCGCTGAAACGTCAAAGCTGTCTCTGGCATTCCTTTCCCGCCGTGCTTGGACTGGGCGGCCTTTGCCTCTCCATGCACACGAAACTGACGAACGTCGCCGCCATCAGAATCACCATCGCTATCCCGATGGGCAACTTCAGAAAGATGCCCCAAATTCCTAGCGGTGAACATGCGTGTTTTGATATTTCCATGTGTATGCCTCTATGTCCACTGATGGAAAACTATATCCAAGATGCTGCATTATGAAATCAACACCCGTTTCCAAACAAATCAGAATGCTGGAATTGCTGTGCATATCTGGAGTTGCGTTGTTAACGCATGGACGTAACGATGCAACTTGAGCTTTCGTAGCGCTTGCATGTCTCATCGCACGTCGTACTGCAACTCTCCTGTCGCGAAACCGGTTTGGGGAAATAGATGTTGCTGGAATCTTCCACCGCACAAGGTTGCCGAGTCATACTGGCAACACATGGCAGGGCCGTTTCAGAAAGACTCTGGGAAGCTGGGCTCATCGCTGCAACCTGCTTTCCATCCCGACCCTTGAGCCAAGTGCCTCAACGGCACAGTCCGCTTAGCGCGCCCGCCCCCGATTCGGCGCACAAGGGCCAGGACGACGGCGAGGAAGATTGCCTGCGAGGCGGAAGACGAAGGAAAGGGCTACAGGGCACGGGCGGCGAGCACGTGGACGAGGAGGTTTTCCAGAAACCGTCTGAACAAAAACTCCCCTGCAAGGTCCCGCCGGGGCGCTGCGCGTCGGCATCAACTCGGACGAAAGCTCTCCGGCGCTGGCGCGGTACAGGGCGTCGAAGCGCACCGTTCCGAAGGATCCCGTCATTGCTGGGGCGGGCGAAAAAAGGGCCTTCGGAGTCTACTCGCTACCCGTGGGCCAGCCAGGTGGGCAATGTCGAGGACCTTCATGGCGCTTGGGTCGACTGCGACTTCGCCGTTGCCAATTTGGACGGAATGCAAAACCATCTGGAACACCTAGACGAAATCATCGAAGGAGGCAACTTGTTAGGCGAACAGGGCAAGCGCACAAATTGGTCGGGCTGCTGTAATTGTGGGGTTCACTGCGCATTGGCCCCCGTCTATGTTGCCGAATGGGTGACGTTCATCATGATATTCCCAGCCGCCGGCAGCTCGGCGTCTCCATTATTCTCCTTGATTGCATCGGCGTCAGCTGCGACGTCGACACGGTGCTGTTGAGCTTCGTCGGCTGCGAAGTCGTCAATGATGCTTGCTGCCATCGTCGCGAGTGAAGCCAGAGGGCACGACCCAATGTGCCTCTACGGCGTGACTTGCGCATTGGGGGCGAACTGACAGCATGTAGAGCCCCGACCTGTGCGCACTGCTCGAATAGCTGGCAATCATCATCATCATCATCATCATCAGCATCATCATCATCATCATCATCACCATTTTCATCATTGTCAGCATCATCGTTCTTATCAGCATCATCATTGTCATCGTCATCATCACCACCAACAACATCATTACCATCAGCCTCGTCAGCCTCATCATTATCATCATCATCATCATCATCAGCTGCGTCGTCATCATCATCATCATCATCGTCATCATCAACATCATCGACGTTGTCGTCGTCATCAGCATCACCAGCGTCATCAGCATCATCATCAGCATCGTCATCGCCATCGTCATCATCATCCACATCGTCAGCAGCATCAGCATCAACATCATCATTAGCATCATCATCGTTGTCGTCGTCACCGACATCAGCAGCATCATCACCATCATCGACAGCAACAACATGAACATCATCAACAACAACATGATTATCCTCTTGGTCTTGCTTGTTATACTGCATCATCTTCCGGACTGCACCCCTTGCCCTGTCAACTTCTGCGTGCCGCCCAATCTGTCCCGCATCAGGACGCCTGGGGCTGCCTATGGGTCAGCCCTCCTGTCGAATTGGACAACAGAGATGGGTTAGTAAAAGAAGGGTTTGCGAATCAGCTCACGTACTTGATAGCATCGGCGCCTCACGGCGCACGTGTACCAAAGACAAGACTTGGCGGCGGAACTGAAACCAACTGCACGCAACAACTGTCTCACCCCTCTTTCCCAACCTCTCCCTGTAGTCCGACCCGGTCTGTGAAACACTCCGCTGAACAAAAAGCATTCAGGCAATGACGAGTCGCAGCCGATACCCTGTGAATCCGAACGGCCCTTTGGGCCACAGGTTGTCTAACGAGGGTCCTTTTCCTCTTCCACGACCCCTGTTCACTTCGGGGAGGGGAACCCTCCCCCTCCCCTCCCTGGTTTTTGTTGGGGGATCGCGAGGTGTCGGAGGCTCCTCCTTCGGCCATTGGGAGGTCCATTGTTTGCCACCCATCACGAGGATCTTGGCCCCGGAAGGGTGGACCTAAATCGGATACCTCCCCTTTTTTGATCGACCGCCTCCAAGATGGCCCCAAGAGGCCCTCCAGGGGGGTCCCACTAGCACCCCAAGAGGCACCAATAAGGCGCCAAAAAGGCTCGCAGAGGCCGCCGAAAGGCCTCTCAGAGGCCCCCAATTGGACCCCAAGCGGACTCAGGGAGCCCAACATGACCTCCCAAATGGCTCAAGATTGTCCAAACTGGCTCAAGATGGTCCCAAACTGCTCCAAGAAGCCCCAAGACCGCTCCAAGACGGGTCGAAATGGCCACGGAGCTTCCCCAGGATGCAACCGAGATGCCCAAATCCTTCAAACACGTACCGAAAATGAATGAATGAATGAACCCCGCCTGTTCTTAGGGCGACAAGTGGCCGAACGAGGGTCTCCTTCCTCTTCCACAACCCCTTCTCGGTTCCGGGGGGGACCCCCCCCTCCCTTCCCCGAGGTTTGTTTGGAGGGGGTCGCGATGTGTCGGGGGCTCCTTTGCTCTGCCATTGGGAGGGCTATTCTTTGCCACACCTCACGAGGATCGTGGTCCTGGGGGGGGGGGCGCAAATCTAGCACCCTCAATCAGGAGGCTCCCAAAAGGGCCCAGAGAGCGCCCAAAGAAACCGCAAGAGAAGAGGCCTCCAACAAAACACCCGAGAAGCCCCCAAGAGGCCCCCGAACGGCCCCCGAAGGATCTCAGAGAGCCCAAGATGAACTTCGAAATGGCTCACGATAGCCCAAGCTAGCTCCCGATGGCTCCCAAGATGCCCCAAGTGGCCCCGAGGCCGCTCCAAGACGGCTCGAGAGGGCCACGAAGCCCACCAAGCCTCCCTCGCAGTTTGACTAACTCCCTTTCCCCCGTCAACTCTCATGGGCATCGTTTCGGGATGGGCTGACGGGGATATTGTTTTGGTTCGCGGGCTCGCGAAGCAAGTCGAAAGCTGGGCACAGCTATGGCGGGCCTCGCCGAAGCAACAGGACAAACAGTACCGAATGACGCCCGTCTCAGACGCGGGCTCAGCGTCGAATGGGACGTAAGAACCGGAAGACCGGCACGATCAACAGGACGAAGGGGGAGTCCGACTGCGCCACACTTACCCAGGAGGCGTCCAAATCCTGCGCCCCAAGTGACCTGCCGAACACGAAATCCTGGCTTCCGATGGGCCGCGGAGGCCTCAAGCTGGCCCCAAGAGAGCCCCAAGAGGGGCCGAAGAGAGAACCCAAGACGGCCCCAACAGCGTCCCAAAAGCGAGCGCGCCAAGAGCGTCCCAAGATGCAACGTTTGAGCCTCCGAAAGGGGTGGGCCTGAATTGAAGACCCCCTCCTTTTGAGCCATGAGGGCCAATACGGTCTCAAGAGGCCTCCCAGACCCAAGAGGGCCCAAAGATGGCATATCCCCGAAGCTCGTCTTCTCATCCTCCCTGTCATTGTCGTTCCCCGTACGCTTCCAAGGCAACATTTCCACTGCATATTCCTACAGTTTCCTGATTCCAGCTCGCCTGGCAATCGCTCCTACCGATCCAGGATGCAACACAAATCCAAGTGCCCAAGGATCCTCTAAGACAGAGGGACATGCAAAACAACTCCAGGGTACATCCCATAACAAAAACACAATAAAGTCGGGGCGGCTTGGGAAATTTGTTCAGCCATTCAACAAACGAGCCCGCTGCTTTCTGCCCCCAGCAGCGTCCAAGCGGTCTCCGAGACGGCCCAAGAGCTTTCCAAGACATTCAAGATGTCCTCAAGGCAGCCCAAAAATTCTTCGAGACGCCCCAACAGAGCCCCAGGAGCCTTCCCACGAGAGCCCCGAGAGGCCAAAATCATGGATTCTCAATGTGTGTTTTCAATCTATTTTTGGGATTCTCAGCTTTCCTCGCTTCCGACGCTTCAAGACGTCCCAGTTCCAACGGCGCCCCAAATACCGCCCCAAGACGGTAGAGGCCCCCAAGAGGGCCCCAAGGCGGCCCAAGAGGGCCCGAAGAGGCACCCAAGAGGGCCCGAAGAGGCACCCAAGAGGGCCCGAAGAGGCCCCCAAGACGGCCCCAAGAAGGGGAACACGAACCAGACATGCGAGCCTTCCGCCTCAAGAGGCGCCCAGGAGATCCTTAGAGGCCCCCAGGAGGCCCGCACGAGGCCCCCAGAGGCCACCCAGGGCCTGAAAGAGGCCCCAAGAGCCCCAAACACATCCCCCCAGAAGCCCTCCATAACTGCCTCCAGGAGGCGTCCGAGAGGCCTCGACGAGTGCCCAACGACCATCCAAGAGGCCTCAGATCCACAATCCAGGACGAGGGCGGGCTGGGCCGAAGGTCATTAGATCCGCCGCCCCCTGTCGATTCATCGCAGGGGTGCCTGGCGTGCTGGACGATTTCCGCTTTGGTGTTGGTTCTTTTTCTAAAAGAACTCTCCCAATGGGTTTCGGCCCGTCCCGCCGGCCGCCCCCCAAGACCCGTAAGACGCACACGCCATCGCCCAAGACGGCCCAAGATGGCTCAAGATGGCGTCCAAGATGGCCCAACATGGCCTCCAAGATGGTCCAAGATGGCCTCCAAGTCCTCCCAAGATGGTCCAAGACGGCCTCCAAGACGGTCCAAGACGGCCCAAGAGGCCTCCCAGAGGCCTCCAAGACGGCCCAAGAGGCCTCCAAGAGGTCCTCCAGGAGGGCCCGAAGAGGCCCAAATCATCGATTTGCCTTAGGTTTTTGAAGGATTTGGGGATGTGCTTCTTCTCGGCATTCCGACGGCTCAAGACGGCCCAAGAGGCCCCCAAAATCGCCCAAGAGGCCCCCAAGAGGGCCCCATGACGGCCCAAGTGGCCTCCAAGACGGCCCGAAGAGGGCCCCAAGACGGCCCAAGAGACCTCCAAGACGCCCAAGATGGCCTCCAAGACGCCCTAGATGGCCTCCAAGACGGCCCCGAAGCGCCCCAAGAGGGCTCCAAGTCGGCCCAGCAAGGCCCCCAAGACGGCTCCCGACGGCGTCAGACGTGCCAGGAACCCACCAAGATGGCCGAAGTTGGCTCAAAGCTGGCCCAAGACGGCCCAAGAGGCTCCCAAGAGGGCCTCCAGGAAGGCCAGAAGAGACCAAAAACATTGATTGTCCTAAGGTATTTGACGGATTTTGACATTTTCTTCTTTTCGGCCTTCCGACGGCCCGAGACGGCCCAAGAGCCCCCAAAGATCGCCGAAAGATCGCTCAAGAGGCCTCCAAGATGGCCAAGATGACCTTCAAGATGCCCACGTGTTCCCTGAAGGCTTTCCAAACCGATTCGGGGAACACATGGTCCGATGACTTGGCAGGTCTGGCCTCAACGTTCCGCCACATAGGCGCTTCCAAAAAGGCAGGGGGCGGCGGTGGTTCGCCGTAGGCGTCTTCGATATCGTGTGCATCATCACCCTCTGCCCTTCACTTAATCTCACGTCTTACATCTGAGTTCGGGAATGAATTGAAGAAGCCCCCTTTTCAGGACCATGCGCCCAACACGCCCGAAGAGGCCTTCGATAGACTCTCCAAGAGGTCTTTGAGAGGCCACCAACTACCCTAGAAACACTTCCCAAATAGCAAGATGCCGATGCCGAGGTGGGGCCCTCGCAAGATGCCACGACCTGTGCAGACTGGAAAGCCCTGTGCAGATTCGTGCCGCGACGACCCGTGCGCTGGTTTCCGACACTGCCCTGGACCATTCCACCCTTGCACGATCGCGGCCACTTGGAGCCCGCAGCGCAGATCCATCGATGCCTGCCGATCCTCGACCCCCGGAGGCGGTCCCTCTGGGACGCCCGCGCGTGGGTCGCCAGGCATCAGTGCGGCGCGGAGCTGCTGCACGGGCCTACCAGACCTGCCAGAACTGGGGGACAAGATGTGTCGAGAAGGACCGCGTGCCCCAGCCAGACCTCCTGGAGCAGTGAGACTCCCCTGTTCATGCCACGGAGTGAGAATCCGATGTCCCTGTCACAGTGTCTTGACCAGATAAGCATGACATGGTCAGCAGACTCTAACCAATCCAGAAAATCTGGACCAGAGGGGCGCAGAATTCGAACGCCCCTTTCGCAATTTCTGTATCTGGGAGGGCTGGAATGGTGAGAACCCGATGCACCTCAACAACGTGTTGACTTGAGAAACTTCGGCCTCGCCAACACATGATGCAAACGTGGTAAGCAGTTCAACACTTGGGGCACGTGCAGCATCGAACGGGCTATATGTCACGCGCTTCGTCTGTTGCCCGCGCGAGTTTCCTGGAGCCCTTCGGAGTATGGGTGGGATTCCATACTGTCTACATGTCCTTCGATGGCTCCCCAGGCCCGTCCTGCAGACGCCTCTTGGACCGCCTAGGAGGCAATGGGGGCTGGCTCAAGAGACCAGGATGCATGAACACACTCGTACAAGATGTTCGGTCTGAAGAGCGTCCAAAACAAACCAAGAGGCCCCCAAGATCGCCTCGCCCGAGGGCTCACGAGGGCCTTAGACGGACGGCCCTAAGAGGGTGAACCCGAACTAGAATGTCGAGCCCTTCCACTGTGCATGTTCGCTCAGACCGCCAGCAGCCCCCCAGGAGGCTCTCAAGAGGCCTCCAGAAGCTTCCAAGAGGCCCCAAGAGACCTCGAAGAGGTCCCAACGAGGGCCCCCAAGAGGCTTCCAAGCAGCCCTCAGAAGGCCTCCCAAGAGACCCCCAAAAGCTTCTAAGAAGTCTCTTCCCAGGACCTGGGCACGGTGGCGGGATAGGACGCAGGCCACTAGACAGTGTTTCACACAAGGAGGGTGAGGATCAAGCAGTGGGGCGTGTGCATTATAGACAGGGGTAAGTCGTCCGCACCCTATCCCCGGACATCTGGTGCTTCGGCCGCTTCGACTTGTTCAAGACATGGCCCACATGGCCTGCTTTTCATCCCGAATCGGAAGACGGCGGTTCTGGATGGACCTGCTGCTAGGAACGAACTGTAATAGTCCAGACAAGCAACACATACACATGTATGAACGAAATGCACATCAATGCACCTTTGATATCTCATGTCGAGACACACGCACTCTCTGGAACTCCCCAGGGCGGACCGTTGCTATGCAAGGAAACCTATAACCATCCCTATACTTCCCGGTTCACAACGACTTCCTGGAACTTCTCAGAACGGGCAAACATATGCAAACATGCGAACCATGTATATTATATGTCTGCGCACTTGCAACCTAATACTCTTTTGAATTCGTCCTGCCTGGATGTTCCCCCTTCGGGGAGGGTTTGATCACTGCTGCTGAGTGATCAACACCCCCTCCCTCACTCGTTCGGGCCCCAACCAGATGAAATGCCATCACCCCCCTCCCGCACTTCCTGCCAAAGGAAACACCAACTAATGCACTGTGCGACACAATAGGGTATTTCTTCTCGGCGCCTCGCGGTCACGATGGATTGTTTCTGTCATGGACGGCGGGGGCGACAGTGTATTGTCCCACGTGCGCAGGCCTGCAGCCCTTTCCAAAAATATGAGAAGACGTACATTGCATCACAGTTGTGAACCATGCGCAAGCGCCCCGTGACCATGAACATCAGTATTCGAGAGTGCCCGCGTATGTTGTGTGGAGTGTGCGAGCCCACCATCCCTGTCAACTACAACTACAACGTACGGGTGGACGAACCATGCACGATGCTGGCAACCCCGACGCCACTTCGCAATTGTTTTTGACAGAAATGCTGGGGGGGGGGGGCGACATATTCGCCAATGCGTGCTGTACGGTGTACTGGCACACCTGGCACAACGTGCGGGCGCCGCGCACGTGGCGTACCTGGCGCAGCACGTGGCACGTGGCACACTTACCTCGTGGCACCCAACGTGGCACGTGGTAAGTGTGGCACCGTAGCACGTGGCACACGTACCACGAATGTCGGGCCAGCGGAGCATCTGGCACGCTTGGGTCCCAGAACGCACCTGGCACGCGCGGTGCAAGTCGCGAGCGTCACGCACCCGGCGTCTTCTGCTCCCAATGGCTATCCATCCAAAAGCGACGCCTGCCAATGCTGAGACTCGGGTGCCACGTATGAGGTGGGAAGGCGGGTTGGGGCGAGCGAGACGCCCGTCTGATGGGTTGCTTGACTCCTCCACCTGCCCCTTCCGCAGGGTCTGGGGGGAAGGGGCGCGAGAGGTCAGAGCGTCCAAGATGGCCCAACACGGCTCCAAGATGGGCCCAGGCAGCCCAAGGTGACCCCCGAAATCGACAAGATAGTCAACATGCCTCCAAGAAGGCTCAAGACCGCCCCGACACGGCTCCAAGTGGCCACGGAGCCTCTCAAACACGCCCAAGAGGGGCCAATATTTACCTTGAAACACCTGGCGAACAGCACTGGTCGTTGCCCTCTCGCCACTTCGCTTCCTAGATGGGCCCAAGAGAAGTCCGTCCGAGATGGCCTCAGTAGCGCCCACGAAAGTCCCAAGATGCGCTAAATCGACCTCTGGTGGGGGGGTGACGTAATTAAGAGCCCACTATTCTTCGATCGATGATCTCTAAGCTGGCACCAAAAGAACCCCCCAAGGGCCGCACTCATGGTCCGATTAAGCTGCCAAGCGGATCCTGACTCGAAAGATCCGCGATGAAAGATCCGCTATGGCATTATGGTTTATTCCTGTGTCTGATCAGGCTGATCCCGAGCTTCGATTTGACGGCTACGTACCTTTGCTCCTGCACTTCAACGATCAAACCAGCTCGCATGGGCATCGTCTCTGAATGGGCTGGTGGGAAAAAACACCGCTACAATAATCACTGCGGTACTTGCTCCCAAAGCCCTAACATGGGTTCTAAAGGTATACAACATGCATGTGTACAAAGCGTTGCCGCCTCGCATTTTCGAACCGCGGGCTGTCTGGGAAGTGGCCCGAAATTACATGTTCGGGATTTCGCGCTTGTCGGCCACATGGGCTGAGAGTGACTCGCCGGAAACGCCTTCGATAGTTAGAGATGATGGGCCCTTTCCAAGCGCCTGGCCGCTCCTACGACTTTGGGAGGGGGAAGGAGACTATCGCGCCAGCAGCACGACTGCGATTGCAGGCTTCGCAACGCAATGCATTACGCAACTCAGCTTGCAGACAGGTTCTGGGCTTAATCATTGGTGGGCTCGAGCGCTCGCGGTGGAGCGCGCTCGGTTCCGCTTCCCAAGAGCTGCTCAAATCTCCTACCTCCTCATCGCTACTCTTGCTCTCTACTGCCTCCTCCCTGCGACCTCTCGCCCACGTGGGAGCGGGCACGCGGGGGAGTCCAAGGCTGTCCGGCGTGGAGCGTGCGGGGGTGCAAGTCCTCCTCCTCCTCCTCCTCCTCCTCCTCCTCCTCCTCCTCCTCCTCATCATCATCATCATCATCATCATCATCATCATCATCATCATCATCATCATCACCGCCCCGACTACCTCTCGGAGCTCGGCGGAATGACACAAGCCTCTTTTGAACAAGTCTTGCCTGTACGAGCGGGGAGCACTTGTCGAGACTGCATTCATTATGGCAACGTGGTTGCGGTCGTATCGCCGACTGCTTCCTCTTATCATTCTGGACAGATGGCGGCGACCGTCACTGGACCCGAGCAGATATCGTAGGAAGATCACAGCGCGTTCGCCGAAACAGCCCCTGGCCCCATCTTGGGGAAATGAAGAGGTACGGACACCGCTACTCCCCGGACCTCTCCCAGGGTACGTTCTCACCCGAACTTCATGGCGAATCCAATGGTGGCGACGAGCGCCTCCCATGAGGGCGAGGAAGCGCGGGAAGGGCAGCGGTGTCCGCACCTCTTCCTCCTCGGACATCTGGGCGACCTGGATCTCCCCAGGCCGACGGCGACAGGCCACGCCCGGCCACAAGTGAGTATCGTTTAAACGATCCCCATCCCCAGCGGCGTGGCCTAGGCCCCTACTGGCCGATTTACCCCCCCCCTAGATGTGGATATAGGTCGTTCCCTTCGGATTTCGAGGGGTGTATGCCCAACTGGGGTGGTAATTTGGTGGGGGTCTCGAAGGGGATGGGGATGGGGATTGGTTAAACGATACCCGACAAGGCCAACAGGCGCCAGGGGGCCAAAAGCTCCCCGCGGCGCTGTGGCAACGATTGTGCAGCAGCTGGCCCCCCCGAGTGCCGTCCAGATTCGCAGGCGGCCGCCCCGACAAATTCGCGCCAAGCCAGGCGGCCGAGAACTGAAGGTCCTGCGCATGGCCGCGCATGTGGCACACACGCGCTCCACGCAAAGCGACCCACCTCGAGCTCCAACTACTGTGGACGAAACGGGTCCATAGGGAAACGCGTCCTGGACCCAGGAGCCTTCCCCCAGGACGAACTTCTCATCCCGAAAAATTGTTCGACCGTCCCAGTGCCCGGGGAGGGCCCCGAAAACTCGGAAATGCCCCAACACCTCCAGGACTGGGCGCCTCCCAGATGGTGTCCGAGAAGATGGGGTCGCGGGGTTGCACCGAGTCGGCGCTGCATCGGCGACACACTGGCGATGCATCGGCGACGTCGGCGTGGAGAAAATCGTGCTCCACATCAAACCGCATCGCCGATGCATCGGCGACGCGGCGCGATCCCCCGACGCCATCTACTCGGACCCATCTGGGAGGCCCAATCGGAAAAAGGCTCCCCTCGGGGCCCGCTTCCGTCATGTCAACGCGCGGTTGGGGCAGGCCTTTCGGCGGGGCCGACCCCGCCAGCGTGGCCTCCCCCCGCCTGCGTGCGCCTGGCTGGCCGCGGCGGGCTGCACCCAAACAACCCTCCGCCCTCTGCGCGTGGCCGAGGCCGCGCCCAGAAAGGCCAGCCGGCGGGGGAGCACGGTGGGCAGAGCCAACCCGACGCGCGACTCCCCGGCGAGCGGCGCGGCCGCCCGCCGCTCCTGCCCCCGGCGCCAGATTCCCCCGGCCTCCGCCGATCCCTCGGCGAGGCTGGCGTCCCCGGCCTCCGCCGATCTCTCGGCGGTCCCGGCACCCGCCGACACCGCGAGGGCGGCAGGGCGGGCGGGCCGAGGGACGAGATATGGGGGCAGGAGGCGGTTCCTCCTCCTTCTCCCCCTCTTCTTCCTCCTCCTCCCCCTGCCGTTCCTCATCCTCCTCCTCATCCTCTTCCTCCTTCTCCTCCATCCCTTGTATCCCTCCTCCTCCTCCTCCTCCTCCTCCTCTTCCTCCTCCTTGCCCTCCTCTTGCCCCCCCATCCCTATTCACTCATTGCCCTTGTATTCCTCCTCCCCCTTCATTCCTCCTCCCCCTTCCCTCCCTTGCCCTTGTCCATTCCTTTTCCCTCCCCTGCCCTCCTCCACCATCCCTCTTCCCTTTGTCCTTCCTCTACCATCCCTCTTCCCTCCATCCCTGTTCCATTGTCATCCTCATGCCTCCTCCTTGCCCCCCTCTTGCCACCTCCATCCCTTCTCTGCATGGCCAACTTTAACGTGGATTCCCGGGGATAAGTAAGGCGCGGGGACGGGTGCGCGAGAGGGTGAAGAAGTGGGTGAGCGAAAGAAGCGCGCACCTATCGTCTGAAACTAAAATATTCCAATGTCGATTCGATGTTCACCCAAATGCGTTCGCCCTCCGCAGCAGCTCCGTGGGTGAGCAAAAGAAGCGCGCAACTATCGTCTGAAACTGAAATATTCCAGTGTCGGTTCGATTTTCACCTAAATGCGTTCGCCCTCCGCAGCCCCAGCGTCCCATTTTTTTTGCCGCACTTCCCCCGCGCGCTTCCTGCGCGCCCTCGTATCCCCCTTCGCACGGGGCTTCGACGGCGAGGGCGCGGGGTGGCGAGGGTGCGGGGTGGCGGGTTTCGACATGCGCACGCGAAACCCGATTGGCTGCATATTATGAGTAAGTTGTACAACCTATGGTTTTCGTAAGAATTCGCAAGAGCGCGCGCGCAAGCATCTTTTGAAAATTATGGTTGCGATGTTTGAACTGTTTCGGCATGTGCGCGCGACGACGCGCGCGTGCGCACTTCGTCCCATTTGTTGCAGGGGTTCTTGACTCTCAATTATCTGTGATGAGCGAATGCGCGCATCTAGTCTTTTCAGCTGAGGATGGGGGGGCATACCGGCCTGGCTGTGATGGTATGGGCTCATATTTCGGATGGACAATGGGGCAGAATAGTAAATACATTGCCATTCGGGAAGGTGGACCATTAACCCTTCGGGGTGAGATCCAAACTCTCTTCTAGAACGAATCTATGTGGCCGCCCAGCGCAGGAGGCGCCCACGGGCGGGCACCGGGCGGAACCTCGGCACACCCACCAAGTGCACGAGGCGCCCACGACGGTGGCCAAACGTCGGCACACCCACCCAGCGCACGAGGCGCCTACGAGGCGCCCGCGGGCGGGCACCGGGCGACACCCCCGCACACCCACCCAGCGTACGCGGCACCTGCCGGGCACCAGCGGGCACCAGGCGAAACCTCGGCACGCCAACCCAGCGCACGAGGCGCCCGCGGGCGGGCACCAGACGAACCCCTGGCACGCCCACCCGGCGCACGAGGTGCCTACAAGCGCTCACGTGGGGGGGCGCCAAGCGAAACCTCGGCACACCCACCCAGCGCACGAGGCGCCCACGACGCGCAGAAGAAACCTCGGCACACCCACCCAGAGCACGAGGCGCCTGCGAGCGCCTCGGCACACCCCAGCGCACCACCAGGGGGGCACCAGCCAAAAACGCGGCCAATCCAACCCTGACCCTTCGAAACATCAATCAGAACCCTGCGTGCAAACACTGCGTCGGGGTAAATGAGAATCGACATAAACGTCCAATTCCGATCCGAGAATCCGCGCCGAACTTCTGGAGCTGTGAGGTCTATGCAGACTTTCTCCTTCGCCCTGGGTCTGGGACGCCTCTGGCAACACCCGATCCTCTACTTCTCCACCTACCCCTCCTCTGGGCTGGCGGCTGGCCCCAAAGGTCACCGTCCGAGGCGACTGCCGGCCGCCCCGGGTGCCCAGCGCAATCGTAGCAAGAGAACGCTGCTCTGCCTGCCGGGTGCTCCCGCACAGGTGAGGCCTAGTTAACAGATGTCGAGGAGCCATGGGCAGTGGATCGGGGGACGTGAGCTGAACACCTCATCGATCCTGGCCAGGCTGATCCCACATTGATGGCAAGGTGAGGGCAGATCCGGGTGATGACAAATCAGGCGCCGCGGCCGTTCCAGAGCGGGCGCCGCGGCCGTTCCTGCACGCTCTGGAACGCTCCGAGAGCGCTCTAGATGGCTCTGGATCGACGTGTCCTTCTGGGGGTCCCAAAACCGTGCGGTGACAGACCGTGCGGTGACCTCGAAATCCCGAAGTGCCTCACCGCATGGTCTGTCACCACACGGTTTTGGAAGCCTGGAGGCCCCGGTCGTCCGAGACATCCTCGAAGAACGACCTGAGTCCCAAAACCGTACGATGACCCCGAATCCCCACCGACTCACCACACCGTGTGGTCACCACCCCATTTGGGAGCCCGAGCCTTGGCTTGCCCAAGATCCTAGGCCTGGGCGGCGTACGCACCGATCCTGGGCTCGGGGTCGGCCCAGGAGGATCGGCGAGATGGTCACGTTGACGTCCCCCCGGACGGAAGTGGAGGAGTAACGGGCGTGAGGCGGCAAAATGTTCTCCAGCAAGAGGGAAGGATGAGGAGGAGAAACGATCAGGATGGGAGAGGGGAGAGAGAGACAGGAGAGAAAATGGCAAGGGTTTGGACTCGGGTAAGGAACGCGCCCCAATTCCAATCCGCGGATTGGCCAGGAGCAAACTGGGTAAAGGAGAAAGGTCAAAACAAGTGCAAGGGGCCAGAGAATGGAGAGGATCCGGATGACAAAGAGGAGGGGATGGAGTTGAACGCATGCTGATGCTGGTGCTATGAAGGTAGCCTTTAGTATACTGGCGTGTGGGTATAGCTGAAGCACTGTAGATGCTGCTAGGGCAGGCTCTCAAAGTAGGCAGGGCCGCGGTGAATGGGGACGAGTGAGGAGTAATATGGTTTCTTGCACGAGCAGAACTAGACGCTTAAGTGAGCCCAACGCAAAACGCGGAACGCATGGGGGTCGAACGGTGATGACCAGGACGAGGATGAGGATGAGGAAGAGGAAGAGGATGAGGAGGAGGAGGCAGGGGGAGGACGATGGAAGAGGAGCAGGAGAACGAGGGAGAGGAGAGGTGGGGGACGTCGTGGGGTACCGTCGGGAGGCGGGATAACAGGGATCGAGGCAAAACGGCGCGTCGCGCCCGGGCGCAAAATGATTCGCGTGACCGTCGGGGCTCCGAAATATGTGTGCTTGCGCGCCTTGCCATCGCTCGGACGTCCATTGCCCGTGCATGCTTCGATTCCGTGCGTGCTTGTCCGACTCGGTGATCGAGGATGCTCCTCGATGCACCTCGCCGAGAACAGATGCACACCTCCGAACGATGCCAAGGCGCGCGGAGAAGCATCCAGCAAGCCCCAGGGGAGGCCGCGAGCGTGCTTGCATGTGCGGAGCCGCCCCGAGCAAACCCCACGGGCCGCCGCAAGCGCGTTCGCACGCACGCGGCAGCTTCTGGCAGAGGCCAGTGCCGCCGCACGAGGCTCGCTTGCGGAGCACCCTCGAGCCAGCACGGGAGCAGTCTCGCGAGCGGGGCGGCCTCTAACAAGCATCAGGGGCCGCCGCACAACGTGTTTTCACACGCGGCGCAACCTCCAACACGCCTGATATGCCGCCGAACCGTGGCTGTCACGCGTCCAGCAAGCCCAAAAGGCTCCGCCCCGTTGGGGAATACCCATAGCGGGGCACTGGGGAGAGCACGGGAGCCCTTCCCCCCGCTCCCTGCCCCCTCTGGGGTGTCCGGCCAGGAAGCCGCGGGATCACTCTGTGCGCCTCGCACACGCCTTCATGGGCCGTTCCGAGGGCCGTCTAACCTGTGCTGCGCGCAAGACGAAAGCGGCGCAGCCCGCCTCTTTGCGCCGCTTTGGGGCGGGCGAACTTACTCGCCCGCCCAGCACTGTGTGTGTGACGCTCCGCTGAACTCTCCGGTCAACTACCGCTCTCGCCTGACGCGAGTCGGGTGCGAAGATGGCCCCAGGGAGAAGAAGGGGAGGAGGAGGAGGAGGAGGAGGAGGAGGAGGAGGAGGAGGAGGAGGAGGAGGAGCTCTACAATGTCCACAGCTCGAAGCTCGAAGGACGCGCACGACCCGGAGGCGGCCAATCAGGCAGGCCGCAGCCGCTCGCCGTGCGCACGCACGGCAGCCCAAGCGACGAGGACACCCCGACGCCACAAGACTCCAACCGGGTTTGGCGCCTGCCCGCAAGCGCCGACCGAGGCAAAAGTCCACCCTCGGGCCCTCGGGCCAGGCGGCGCCCAAAGACACGGGTCGGTGGTAGGCCCCTCGGGCCCGCCGTGGCCAGGAGACGAGGCGGATCCAGCCGACCGTCCGAGGCGCCTGGCCCCCTGGGGGCCCACCTCGGACGGGCTCGCTCACATCTCCTGCCCCAACGCCCGCCGCTACACAGCCTCGAAGCTCGGAGGAGGAGGACGACGACGACGGAGAGGAAGAAGAAAAAGCAATAAGGTTAATAACACGAATGCTGATAATAGTAAGAAGCAGAGTACTAATACTATTATCAGCCAAAATAAAAAAAATAATACTGATCATGATGAAATCAGCAATAACAATCATACACATAACAACGATAATAACCATAACTCCAGTAATAATGATGCGATACGACTAAGAAGACAAAACATAAGAGTAATAATAATAATAAGAAGAAGAAGAATAATAATAAGATAGCGAGGATACATACACATAATTATATAATGCGCTGCAGAAGCGCGCGGGCCCGCCAGCTCTGGTCGCGCGCGGGCGCGCGAAAGAGGAGCCGCGCGGGTCGTCGGCACCGAGAGTTCTGCACGGGCCGCTGGCCACGATCCCAGACGTCCGACATCGTGATTGGTGCGCGTCCGTGACCCCGACGAGGTCGGGAGCGCGCTGGACCAGGTCAGCGCCTAGGTCTGCCAGCGGCAACTAGCGCTGACCCCCCTTACGGGCGCCCCGGCCAACGGTCTCGACCTCTTCCCGGGGGTGGGGGCCCGTCCTGGGTCCGTTCTTGGCCCCTTGGGCTCAAAGCAGGCGCCTGGAGGTGGAGGCCTCCCACATGGAGTCTGACTCGACAGTGTCCGAGGATCGCGCCGCATCGACAAAGCATTGCCGATGTCGGAGATGCATCGGCGCTGTCGCCGTGGAGAAAATCGGGCTCCACGTGGAGCCGCGTCGCAGGTGCATCGACGATGCGGCGCGGTCCTCCGATCCCATGTGCTCGGACCCCATTTGGGGAAACCTGGAGTGGGCCAGCGTAGCGGAAGCACGGCCAGGACTGGAGGCCAAAGGAAGAACAAGCACGCAAAAACATCCACCTCCAGAGCTCCGCGCGCTCGGGACGTTTTTTTATGCGGACGCGGCCCGTGTCTCGTCCGAGAACCATCACAGCGTCGACGTCTGGGTTCGCGCACTCGAGCGGAGAAGCGGGCAAAGGAGGCGCTGTGGCCCAGACGGTGCGCAAGGAGGAGGCCGTTGTCTCACGGGCCTGCGCTTCCCCCGCGCGGCGGCTCTCCGAGCGTGGCGAGAGCCGGCCACAGTCGGGAGATGGTCGATCATCGGGGAGGACACGGAGGACGAGGAGTAGGTGGTGAATGGATGATCTATGGGATCGGGGAGGAGGAGGAAGATGTGTGGTGCCGAGAAGGGTGGGCGAGGAAGGGGGGGCCTCCTCTTTTTCCTGTTCCTCCTGCCTCCTCCTCCTCCTCCTGCCTGCCTGCTCCTTCCTCCCCATCCTCGTCGACGGAGCCAGCTGGGTCAGCTCCTCATCTTCTTCTTCGTTCTCCTCCTCCCTCATTGCATTTTCGACGAGCCGTGGGGGCGGGGCCCACCGGCGCCTTCCTGCTAATCCCACCAGCCCTCTGGGCGCAGGTGGTCTAGAGCGTTTCCTTTTCCAACCTCCTTCCTTTCCCTGCTCGCGAAGTTTACCTCCCCCCCCTCCCTGCGTCTGGACGGGATCCCCCGCGAGGTGTCAGAGGGCCCTTTTCGGCCCAAGATCAGAGAATGCGAGATGGCCTCCAAGATGTCATAAGATAGCGGTAGATGGCTCAAGATAGCCTCCGACACGCATCCAAGAGGCCTCAAAACGGCCCCAAGACGGTTGCAAGTGCCCTCCGAGGACTCCCCCAAGAGGCCAAAATCATTCAAGAACCTAAAGAAAATCAACGCTGTTTGCGTTCTCGCTTTTTCGCCTCCGATGGGCTCTTGAGGCCTCAAGATGGCCCCAAGACGGCCCAAGACAGTCCCACGAGGGGCCCAAGAGGGCCCCAAGACGGCCCCAAGAGCGCCCAAGAGCGGCCCAAGAGGGCCCCAAGACAGCATGTTTGAGTCTCCGAGGGGGCGATGGGAATTAGAACCCCCACCTGTTTTAGCGAAAGGGTCCAAGACGGCCCCAAGAGGCCCCTCAGGCATCCCAAAAGAGCCCCAAGGCGGCCACCTGACCCCCCAAAAGAGCCCCAAGAGGGCCCCACGACGCCCCAAAAGTGCCCCAAGAGGGCTATAAGAAGTCCCTAAGAGGACATCAATAAAGCCCCAAGAAAGAGCTCCAGGAGGGCCCCAAGAGGGCCCCAAGAGAACCCCAAGAGAGCCCCAAGATGGCTCCCAGTTTCGAAATGCACGCGAGTTTAAGATACAAATCGGTGCAACAGCCATTACGAATCATCGAAGCACCCCTCACCCGTCATCGAAGCACCATCGTAGCTTGCACTGATTTCCATATTAAACTTCAATGCGGGAAGCTCTTTGTGATCCTTGTTTTCCCGAAGACGGCTGCGCAACTGCATGCGTCCTGCCGCCCCTGATTCACCGACTCCCCTGTTGATCGTTTCTGGATTGGCTGGTGGGGATACTTTTTTTTTACAGCCGCAGGCGGAAGCGCCGGCGGCGGCGGGTCACGGTGGCTGGTGGGGATACGCGTAACGTCAAGAATAACTCCTCCTCCTACTCCTCCTTATCGTTCTCCTCCTACTCCCCATCCCTCCCTCCTCCCCCGCTCCCGCGCGCGCTCCTGCAAGCGCGGGGGGAGGGAGGGAGGATGCCTTTCCTTCTGTTTCCGAGGTCCCCGGGAATCCCCCCGATTGCCTTTTCATCGGGTTCCCCAAGCAGTGCTTGCACTTGGGGGTTCCCGCCTCGGTTTCTGAGTAATTGGATGGGTCCACCGAGGTTTCGCCACGTCCCCGCCCGAGGGCGCCTCGTGGGCTCCTCAGTACTTCAGTGGGTCCGCCGAGGTTTCGCCGCGTTCCCGCCAGTGGGCGTCCCGTGGGGGCGCGCGTTGTCGCCCCGTGCTCTGGGCGGATCCGCCGAGGTTTCGTCACGTTCCCGCCGGTGGGCGCCACGCGTGCGTTTTGTGGGCGCCCTGTGCCCTGGGTGCAGCACAGCATACGCAACACAGCTCACACCGCACAGCCTGCACCGCATAACGTGCACAGCATGACGCACGACACACACGCACACACGCACACACGCACACACGCACACACGCACACACACACACACACACAGCGTGCGCCGCCTACGGTGCACACCGCACAGGTCACGTCGCATGACCTACACGGCATAGCTCGCACCACACAGCTTACACAGCATAGTTTGCACCAGACCACCACACAGCGTACACAGCATAACTTACACCTGATCACCAGGTAGCTTGCACAGCACAACTTACACAACACATCTAATAAAGCATAGCTAACACAATACAAATCCCACCTCGAATGCAATACATCACTGCTTAGGGTCCACGCTGGCTGCCCTTTCTCACTTGTGTTCTCATGAATCGGATGTCGCTTCCGGTTTATCGCTGGATGCCCGCCCGTGGGCGCCTCATGGGAGCGCCCTGGCCTGGAGCAGCGGGGATGAGGGATGGGGGGAATAGAAGGGGGAGGATGAGGAGGCATGCTGCCAACCTTGCCACACAAGGCACCATCGAATATGAACGGTCGGATGTGCCGTAACGAAACGATGTTTCTGCTCCGTGCTCGCAGCCACTGGATGCAGGATGCAAGCAATCCTGCCCTCCAAGTCCGACGGCTCCCGTGTGCTAGGGGGCGACAGCGCGTGGGACAAGTTTGGCTGCACACCCCAGCATGAGGAGGAATGGGCAAGATGAGGATGGAGCACGAAGAAGAACAGCAAGGAGGAACGACGTGCTGAAGGGATGGAGGGAAGAAGGAACCACCGCCTTCCAAAATACGAATCAGGGGGGAGGGACAAGCTCTTCTGCGCAACTCGCAAACCCGCGAGCTCCCCCTCCAAAATGGCCAAGGCTCTCAGCACGGCTGAGGATGTTTTCGATGTGCTTCAGTCTAGTGCTGTGTTGCCTCCAAGGCTGCCAAATGATCCAAGATGGCCTTTAGCATGGCTACAAGATGGCCCCACCATGGCCCCGAAGCTTCCAAACGAAGTCTCCGAAAGGATACCGCCAGTGTTCTTTCAACTGGTTGCCTGCAGAAATGCTGAGACGAACTGGAGAAATTGAGTATTCCTGGCTGATGCGGAATAGACGTCCCAGAGCGCCTTGATTTGTATAGTGTCGCTGGGTTGCATGGCTTCCTGATCCTCGTGAAGCGGTGCAATTGTGCCGCCTAGAGCGTACTAGAGCCAGACTGTCGCAGGCACAGGGGGATGTAGGGATCCCCCGTTCAGGCTCAATATGCTTAAGCCTTCGCTGGCGGCGAGGTAGGTTGCTCCATTTTCTGAGTCACCCCTCCTCCTCCTTCTCCTCCTCCTCCTCCTCCTCCTCCTTTACTGCGCCCTCCCTGGGAACCAGGTCAAACGAGGAAATCGTCACGAATCCTCTTTTCTAAGGGTCGGCGGGCTGACACAAAGCGTCGCAAATAGGACACTCATGGCGTGGTTCATTCGCGCCAAGCACCTCTCGGCACCGATCCGGCGAGAACTCAGGGACCAATTGAACGATATCAAACAAAGTTTGCCAAAGAGACGCCGACCTGACAAACAAACGGAACGCGGTCACTCAGAGGAGGGCGAGGTGCAGGAAAGGTAGAATGGCCGAAACATCATTACGAGACGTCTTCGTCTCTCCGTGCACCGTTGGCTATAACCGCTGGTCGAGGCTACAACTGGCTGCTCCTTATGCGGCTGAATGCATCATGAGTGGTGGGAAGAAGGGAATAATAGGAGGCGCACGCACAGGATGTCCTCACGATAACCGTGAAGGGTCTTTCATAAAGGCCCTTTCTATAATAGAAACTGACAATTTGTTGTGCGGGCTTCTTGACGGATCGGGATCCGAAACAATGCTGGGAAAATGATTTCCCTCCCGCGGAGGGCGAGAAGGGAGAGAATGGAGAGCAAGGGCGAAGATGAAGAGCGAGAAGGAGGGCGAGGAGGGGAAGGACGAGGAGAGGGAGGTCAGGGGGGAGGGCGAGGAAGGAGAGCGAGGAGGAGGGCGAGGAGGGGAGGGACGAGGGGGAGGACGAGTGTTGCCAGCCGTGAGCTTTCGCTCAAAAACTTCTGGTCAGTGAAGGTAACGGGCTGTAGGGGCGTGCACTGGAAATTCTCGGCTGAGCTCAACAATGCACACTTCTGCGTGCATCGTGAATGTCGATTCTTCAAGTGCGAAGTCAGCACCCCGATCGCGAGCACAATTGTTGCGCTTGAGCCCGTGGCGCGCTGCTGCATGCGCGCTGGATATCTGCCGAAGCCCCGGCAGCCAGTTTCAGAAAAAAAGCAATACGTCCAGCAATGTCTATGCAGGAGCAGATGATGAAGATGCTGGCGGCTTAGCAATTGTGGCAAACAAACGCAGCTCCCTCCTCCTCCTCCTCCTCCTCCTCATCCTCCCACTTCTACCTGGTCGTGCCCTCCTGCCCCTCCACCTCCCTCGACATCCTGCGCCACCTGCCGGCTCTGGCTCCCGTTCCTGCGCTCTCCTTCTCATCCCTCTCAGCTCTCCTCAGAAGCCTCCGACGCGAATTGAGAGAAGGGGTCGGAGGATCGCGCCGCCTCGGCGATGAATCGGCGACGTAAGCCATTTGGCATCGGCGACGTCGAAATTGATAATATCCGGCTCAAATCGGGCCGCACCGACGTTGCACTGGCGCTATCCTCCGACCCCACCTACTCCAGCTCAAATTTTCTGAGACCTGGATTCCCTTCCACGTTCCCTCCTCCCCCCTCACCTGGACAGCATCAACCACCCTCCTAGAACTCCCAACCCACTCAGCTACCAGCAATTCATTAAAAATGAACGAGCCACCCATGGCAGAAGAGGTGTCTCATCTGGAAACGCAAACTGTGCCTCCTGCAAGACAGATCCAAAACCGGACCGTGACAACCACTGCAGCTGATCAGAAAACGGGGTGCGTGCCGTCGCGCGAGCTCCCAGCCAGCGGACATCTTCTTCCATGGCCGCCGCCAGCTCCTCCTCCTCGCCCTCCTCCAACATCCTGCAAGCTTGATGTACAAAACCTGCACCTTATGTGCTGATTTCTGTGAACACCCCCCGCGCACACAATGCAATATTGACGGGCAAGGCCGCGATGTGTCGATCTGCCGACCAGCCGAACTCCTGCGCCCCGCTGGCGATGCCAGCCAGCATTCTATCGGGGGCAGTGGGGCGCGTTGACGTTCGCGCCAGCGAGGGTGGTGCTGCGAGGCGGGGATTTATCCATAACCACCGCCTGGGAACCAACGTCCTGGTGGCCCAGCGGGCGGTGGATATGGATATATTTTTGCCCCCCGGGTGCCCGAACATATCCATTTTCACCGCCTGCGAGGTCTCCGAAAATTGATCCTCTAGGCGGTGGTCATGTATAAATTCCCGCCTCGAGGGTGCATGATTTTGTCCAAGGGCGCCTAACTTCGCGAATAACTCCGCGCTCTCGCGCCGCCCGCCAGGGGAGAATACGAGGATGAGGATGCATCGGAGCCGAACCGCGGAGCGCGAAGCGCGAACAACTTCGTGCCCTCGAGGGCGCCCTTGCTTGTCCACCAACCGCAAGTTCGAGGATCAGGAATCGAGCGCTTCACTGGTTTACCGGCTCACTCACGCCCCTTGGGCCCTCCACCTCGTCCCAGACCTCCTCCGCCTCGTCCCGCTTCTCCACCTCTGCCTTCTCGAGCGCTGCCGCACAGCGCGGATCGGCGGCGAGCGCGGGGGGGGAGTGAGACGGGGCAGGCCTTCTCAGGAGGCGGCGGGGCTTCTCGGAAGTCCTCGCGCCTTTTGAAATGCTCTGCGTCTTCGGGGAGGGCTTCGAAGACTTCTCGAAGGGCTCAAGGCCTTCCGAGCCTTCCGAGGCCTGCCCCCCTCTCGCTTCCCCCCTGGGCTCACCGCACAGCGCGGAGTCCGCGCCGAGCACACGGCAAGCAGGGCTGCTCACGGTGCGGTTCGATCCAATCCGATCTCCAGACTTCGGTCCCGATCTGACACGAACCCATGGAGTAGCGAGGAGGCGCACAGAACTCAAAATACGTCAGACTAAACCAAAAGCAAATAACTAATGGGCGAGTGGGGGTCAGCCCCACCCCTGTCGCTGCCCCTGATCCACCCCCTCCCCCCGTCGGATGGCGCCCCGCTCGACGGCGATTCCGGGGCCACGCTGATGCAGGGTATCATGGCCGCTCACCCGGCTGGGAGCGCCGGGGGGGACGAAAGGGTAGGATAGCAAAGGGTGGGGTTTACAATCGGACCTATAGGCCAAAAGAATGTCCCTCAAGAACGTGAGACCCTCCGTCAGCCACAACTGACAGAAGACCCACGGGTGCCCTCCGCAGGATGCACAAGAACGTCCAACAAACACGAAGAACGCTTATAAGGTACCCTCCCCGAACCGAGCTCGATCTTATGTCTCGGTCCGACTGTAGAGAATCAGCTCAAGTAAGCTGGCTTTCCTGGCACCTCCTGGCGCCAGGCGCCGCCCCGTGTATCGAGGAATGGGCCCGGCGGCGGGGCAGAAACTGGCTGCATGCAGCAAATGCCGTTGAGTCGAGCCGCTGAAAAAAGAAACTGTTATTTGGCCCCAGAAGCGCCAGCTTGCACCAGGAGCGCTAGAGGAACAACCACAGAATGACCTAAGGAACATCGAGCGCCTTTCGTGCCAAAACTGTGCCCAATTTCAACGTCTTGGCTGTTTCCCCTCCATTTCCCCGCACCCGGTAACCGCCGCTGGCTGTTCCCCTCCGTGTCGAACGCAGAAACATGGGAGGTGCAGCGGTCATCGCGGCACTTGTCTGCAGGTCCTTGCCGAGGGGCGACATCCCCACGACCTCCTGTATGCTCTAAACTGTCCTGCCCTGGCGTCCCCCTGCCCTGTCCTGCGAGGGAACGACGTCCGCGTCGCCCCCCCCCCCACCCCCTCCACCGCGCCCCCCCCCTCCTCCTCCCCAGACCCCACCCTTGCCTCCGGCCCGAAAGCAGCAGGCGCCGCTCCGGGCGGCGTGCGGCTCAGAAAGCGCCGAGGGGGAGCCGCCAGGCGGCGGCGGGCATGGCCTCTTGGCGGGGAGGGCCCGCGGCGCAGAGCTCCGAGCACAGCGTCCCTCGCACCCCCAGCGCGAGGGGCGCTGTTCTTGATCCTCTGCGTCTGTCCTCCTCCCCCACCTGCTCGCTCATTCCCCTCCTCCTCTGCTATCCGCAGCGCTGCGCCTCGCTCAACTCATCCTCCTCCACCATTGCTGCGAATGGGGGTCCAGCTGAAGGGTGTGGTGCAATAGATCTGCTGCGCTAGATTTGTGGGTTTGCAATAGGTTCGGAGCGTGCAAAATAGTCCAGGGCGAAAATGTATTGATGGATTGTTGCGTGTAATACATTCGTTGCAACACCATGCGATACAATTCTCTGGCGAAATGCATCAACCAGATCCTCCTCTCTCGACTCATCCTCGCAGCCTCTCACGGGGAAGGTCCGCGGCGCAGACCTTACAGCATGGCGTTCACGGTCACTCGTCATTCGTCCATGCGTCACATTTCGCCCGACACGCGGGACGCAGGATCGAGAGCGAGCAGTCGAGAGTCCGGGGGCTCGCCTTCGACGGCCTGGAGAGGGGCTGCTAGATGTGGGGGGAGGAGGAGCAAAGATCAATAATAATTTCAATCATCACATGATATTTTGGTGTTGCCGCCCCTCTGAACCTGGGAAACTACGGAACCAACACATAGCTTCAAGGATACCATGAGAACCCACCCACGAATATTCCCAAGCTCCCTCCCCAAAGCCTGCCTCTTCGTCCTCCCCTCAAATGACTCTCCCCCTCCTCCTGGAGGCGGAGGTTGGCTTTGCAGGGCCTGGGAGGGGTTAGGGGTGACCTGAGGGTTTGTGAAGGTCTTGAGGGCTCTGTCCGCCGCTGTCGCCGCTTATCGCGCGCCGCGCTGCTAAAAAACACGAGGTATAAAGCGGGGGCCTCTTGAAGTGCACGATCAGTGTAAAAAGTGCGCCAGATTGCGCAATCCTGCGCAATCCTGCTCAAGGAACCAGCGTGTCACTGCCATCCATGCGCTCCCACCCCGCGTGTCACGACGTGGTGTCCCATTGACAGGCCGGCATCCAATTAGGGTGGGGGGGGCGACGTCCGACTAGTATAGGGGGACCCTGTACTGAATGGAATGTCGTCAAGTCCGTTCGAACTCTTCGTGTTGGGCACTGTGAATACTGTAAGGGTCCTGGAGCCGCGCGTTGCGGGCGATCCTAGGAACTCTGGCCCACCACCCAGAGACGGTGGCGGGATGGACGGAAGGCCACAAGATGTAAGAGGAGGACGGGGATGAGCAGGCGGAGGACTGGTTGAACGTCAAGTTAAAGTCACTCGAACAGCAGTCCCAAGTTTGACCAAAATCAACAATCTCGCCATCGCTCGGACGTTCACTCCCAGTATATTTTTCGACTTCGTGCATTTGTTGGTTCGAAAACTGGTCCGAATGCTCCTCGAGAAATACATGCACACGTCCGGGCGATGCCAAGCACTTCGCAGCCAGGCGTGAGCCAGAAGAGTAGAGAGACGAACCGGAGGAGGGGATGAGACGAAGGGCTGCGAAGAAAGAGGACTGGCAGGACAGTGGGAGGGAGGAGCAGCAGCATGAGGAGCAGGAGACAAGAAATGCTTTACACGCTGGTCGTTGCAAATGAGTGTTTCTGGGTCTCAGATCCCCACCAACTTCAAGCGCCTTACTACCTCAAGAGTCGATCAGATATTGCTGTGCGTTGCTATTATCTGGGAGGGCCTGGACCCAATCTACCTTATCCGCCCTCCTACTTCATGTTTTTACCTACCTCTTCCCGCTGACGTGTACGCATGCGCTGTGGATCTACGCGGTACGGCCTTCTCCCGTCGAGCCGGCTCTCCCAGCCAGCGCTGCGGGGGCAATGGCGGCTGGGGCGGCGGGTACGGGACTTCGCTGGTTGGCTTCACCTGGTTTGGGCCAATAAAACAATGACGCGAACCCTCGGGAAAATAAATCTATTGCTCCGCTGTGCGGCTTGGTGTTTTTCGTCGCCTCCAGAGGGTCTGTCCGGCTGCCTTTTGGCCCCCCCCTTACAAGGGCAGGGCATACCGCGCACCTTCTGTTGGATGAAGCTGTAGTATGGCTGGTCGCAGAAGCAGCCCTCGTCCTGGGAAGTCACCGACGCACAGAACGGGCCACGACACATCCTCAATTCTCCCTTCCTTTGTTCCCAACCATCCTGTGGTGTTGGGTCCTCGTTTTGAAGAAACAACGCCCCGCGTCCCTCCTCTCCTCTCCTGTCCTCCTCCCCTCCTCCCTCCTCCTCGTCATCGTCACGCAACCATCCTGTGGTGTTGGGTCCTCGTTTTGAACAGACGGTGCCCCGCGTTCCTCCTTCCTCCTCCCCCCCTCCTCCTTCCGCTATCATCGGCATCCTCATCATCATCATCATCATCATCACCATCATCATCATCATCATCATCATCATCATCATCATCATCATCATCATAATCACCACCACCACCACCACCACCACCACCATCATCATCATCATCATCATCATCATCATCATCATCACCACCACCACCACCACCATCATCATCATCATCATCATCATCATCACCATCATCCTCTTCCCAACCATCCTGTGGTGTTGGGTCCTCGTTTTGAAAAGACGGTGCCCCGCGTCACACCCAGTACAGCGTTTCGTGC